TTTAGACTGGGTCTGTTTGCCGGTCACTAATCCTGATTAGAGATGAGTGTATTCGTATATGAATATGAATACCCCACACACACATAACGAGGGTCCAACGCCCTGCGGCTGGACTGCCCACTCACCTTCCATTGTTGTCATGAGCTCCGCTCTTCCTCCCATATTTGTTAATATATTTTTATTCATTTTCATAGGGGTAGGGGCTATGGTACCAATAAGGGGACAGGTAAGGGGGGAAGGGTAAGAAAGGATAAAATTCCAGAGAACAAAAATTATTCTTACATCTGCTTCTACTGTACAATTGTATTAAAGATGGAAATCATACAAAGAGAGAAAAAACATTATAACAATTTTCCATGATATTCATCATTACTAATCTTCCATTTACTTGGACTTTCTCTTTCTTTTTATCTTTAAGTTTACTAGTTACATAGGTTTAATATTATTCTGCCATCTTATATCTATTGTTCTAAATTGCTCTATTGTTCTAAATCACTTTTATAACTATTAATTTGTGTTTATTTTTTCACCACAAAATACCTTCTTAGATTTAACGTTTATCTCCACTGCTCTGTCTCCATTTTCCAACCAATATTTTGTGCCCCTCTTACCATGTCATCTTTCATTTTCCATCTTATGGACCATGAATCCATTCTCAAGAGCGTCATCCACTCCAGGTATTGTCTCCTTTGTTTCATTTGCCACAGCATACAGTGGGGTCTCTACTTAAGAACGTCCCTACTTAAGAACAATCCAACTTAAGAACAGCTCCATTTGCTAAATTTTGCTTCTACTTGAGAACAGAAATCCAAGATAAGAACAGGAAAAAAAAACTTTCCTGCTCTTTTTTTAACCTTAGGTCATCTTAGGTTAAAAAAATCTCCCCCTAGTGGTAGAGTACGTATTAACCAGCTTTGCATTAGTTCCTATGGGAACTAATGCTTCAATGTATGAACGCACCTCTATATAACAAAAAAACAGCCAGAACGGATTAATTGGTTTTCAGTCCATTCCTATGGGAAATTTTGCTTCAATTTAAGAACGTTTCAACTTAAGAACACCATTCCAAAATGGATTAAGTTCTTAAGTAGAGGTTCCACGGTAGTTTCTATGGATGGAAAAGAGCAGATACAGATTAAATGGTTTTCAATTCATTCCTATGGGAAATGCAGATTCAACATAAGAACTTTTCAACTTGAGAACCACCTTCCAATACGGATTAAGGTCTTAAGTAGAGACCCCACTGTATGTCCCATCATCTCGATTCTTCTCCTGTTTATATAGAAGTTCATAGTAAACTTCGCCATTTCTTGTACTTCCACTGTTGACATCTTCATAAGGGGGATGAACAAATTGGCTCTCCACTGCATTGTATCTGCATCTTTTTCTTCTAGAACCTTCTGCGGTTTAATAATAAATTGTCTGTCTCTGTGGTTTTAAAAAATTCCCTGTCGTAGTTTCACTTCTTTCTCCGTCTGCACTTTAAACTCCCTTTGTGTCCCCACATCTTGTTCAAATAGGTGATCCATCTTTGTTTTCATCTGGTGCAATCCATTAAGTACAATGTTCTGAATATTCTTGAGGATGTCTTGTTGTCCCATAACTGGAGGTATTATCTGGATTTCTTTCCAGCGGGTAGTGTCCACAATAGTTATTCACAATAACAGCCTGGGGCAAAAGGTTGACAGGAGGAAGGACTTTTCCCAAGACTATTTTGGCTGCTTCGCAGATTTAAATCCACCAGTAGTTTATATTTATATTGTTCTGCAGGAGCGGGTTTTATTGCCACAATAGAATCAAAGGTGTTTTTTCTCCCTCCCCCTTTCTTTTTGTTTCTCTCAGCCAAGCCTCAGATGAAGGGGGAGGAGTGTTCACCCGTCTGGCAAGTGATAGGTCTAGTCACTTTGTCTGACAGATTACACCCAGTCTCTTCATTGTATTAGGTCCTTAACAGTTCCATATGTAAAACAAGCCACTTGCTTCAAGTTTGGTTAAGATTATTTTTCCAAAATCCTTCTGTACTTTTCCACTCTCTGTCTTGGGGCATTCACAGCTCTGTGCCAAAGATGCCGCCCACTCAGTTCTGCTTCCAGATTGTGACTTCAAAGAGAGGCCAATCCAGGAATCTCCCAGGCCCCCTCCCTTCTCAGTCGGATTCTGTTGCTTCAGACTTTCACTTCTCCTAGTAAAAATCCCTCCCCCCCCCCAAGTTTGGACGGGTCGAAACTGAGTGGTCTCGGACAGTTTCAGGAGCCTCCTGATACTCGACGATCTCGCTGTGACAAAGCCCCACCTTCCTGCTCCAGGCTCCTTTCTTATCACTCCGGAGCTTGTGGTCTCCAAGCCACTCTTCAACCTTGCAGTGAGGCTCATCCTCCTGTCTCCTGCCAGGAGTGGCTCATAGACCGCAAACTCCAGAACGATAGGAAGGGACTGCAGAGCCTGCAGCAACAGCAGAAGGCGAGTGGACAGTCCGGTCCCAGGGGACTGTCCACCTGGGCGGGGGTATTCATATTTGTATATGAATACCCCCATCTCTAATCCTGATCCATATAAATGTGACTTGAGTGGGGTGTGTCTCCAGACATAAAAATTAGATTGTGCCTTTGTACTTCTTCACTCTTTTCAGAATAAAGGCAATATGTGGAAAAAAACACAGATGTAAAATCACTCACTGCTTCTGTTCTGTACTGCAGCCAAAAACTGTGGTCATGACCCAGGGTTCAGTCCCAGGTAGCTGACACAAGGGTGACTCAGCCTTCTGTCTTTCTGAGGTCAGTAAAATGAGCACCCAGCTCATTGGGGGGGGGGGCAATGTGCAGCCTGCATAATTAACTTCTAAACCACCCAGAGAGTGCTTTTAAGTGCTATGGGGTGGTATATAAATGACATGTTTTGCTTTTTTGCTATGCTTTGCTTCTTATAAATGAAGATTTCCACTCCATATTCAAATCAGATGCTGGGCTTATTAATATTGGGCAGTTCAAATGGGAGTATTCTCCAGGGAAATTTGCAATACTTGAGGGAGTTTGCTGACTAGTTAAACTAAAGTTTTCAGCCATCTGGGAAATATATATACATAAACTATTTCAAGTGATCAAGGGAAAGCAAATAAGCATGACTGACAGAGCTAAAGCTGACTCGTATAACACTGGACAATTTAAGATATAGCTTAAATACTGAAAAATATATCTCCGCTTTGGTTTTGCAACATTTAATAACTAGCTTGTTATTTCTGGTCATATTCTTGAAATAGGCAAGAGAATCTTTCCTGAATTTTCAACAAGAAGTGTTTGTCGATTTAACTGACTTCAAGGAACATGTATTTCTGTTAATTCCTTCCCTGCGCTACAAAGAAGTCCAGATCATTCAGTTTCTGTTGCTTCAATATACAGCTTCTTATATTCCACGCTATTCTCATTCTGACCTCCTTCTCAGCATATGGGGCTGGTATAATACTTCAATATAAGCTGAAGATTAACACTGTGGTTATCTCTGTTTTCCTGTACTAATTTTATCAATGACTATTGATAAAATGTGTCCATAATAAACTTCACAGAGCAGATGCACTACATAAATCCATTTTCAGGTGGCTGCACGACCAAGTACAGTACATGAGGTTTGTAATAGCTGGTGATTGTTGCTATGGTTATAGACAGGAGTTACCATATTTGTCTGGTTACACTGTAACTCAGTAGTCACAGCTGTGTGAGCATTTCCCACGTTTCTTCAAATGCAGAGAAAATTCATGTAATATTGAACATCAAATTGGATCCTACAGATAGCTCATTAGAAGGAGCAGTTAGTTCCTTAAGTGTTAACAGATGTCTATTCACCACCACATAAGCTTTTATGATATTTTCCTGTGCCTCACAATGAGCTTATCTGTTTTGTGATTGGTCATCAGGAGTTAAACACGAGCTTCATTTGCCTTTTGCTCACTCAGACATGAAGCTCTTGGGAGACTGCATCCTTCAGACACTAACATGCTTTCATCTTCTAATGAAGTGTCCTGCTCTAGCACAGTATTTGATTTTACCAAGGTATAGGAATCTGCTTTCCCAGAAACATGTGGAAATAGAGATCTCTATACAGCCAGTACTCAAAGCGGTCAAGTTGTTTTGGAGCATGAATAAAGAATTCTCATTCCTATCTCTGGCAGCAAAAACCCAACTTTAACAAAGAATTAAAAAAAAAAATAAGAACAGGTGCTCTTTCAGGACACTGCAGATTTCCTACCTAAGGCAGGTCACATTGCCTAACAACAGTAGTGTTCCTAGAGTCCAGAGTTAGCAACATCTGCATGTACCTGGTTAATTCCAGGAAGCTTACAGCGACAGGAAGTGAAATATGTGTAAGAACTTTGGACTTCCTAATGTTTCAAATATGTACTGTATATACTGTATCTACAGAAACCCCTGCAACCTTTCATACCCTTATCTGAACATGGTCAGAGGCCACAATGCAGGTACCTCATCTCTATATGGGGATGGGAACCCTGATTTCTCTTAACCTTAGTCACAAACATAGAGTTGCTTTCTGCACTCATTTCATGCTAATTGAGTTTTGTTTTAATTGTCTCTCAGGTCTTATGAAAAAGATAAAACATAGCAAATGAAAATATAAAGTTTTCAAAATCCACCCAATCAACCCAGTTTGAATAAAATTAAAAGTGTAGGTGCAGAGACAGCACAAAGTATATCTACACAGAGGCTCTTCTACAGTATGTTCTCAGCGCCATCATTACAGTGTGACAAAGTATATCTACACAGAGGCTCTTCTATGTTATCAGCACCATCATTACAGTGTATGGTATGGTCACCCTGAATAAGCAGGAACACTATGAGTAGACTGCAGTGCGTATAAAGAACCTGATGAGTGTCCATCTTTGCTTATGAATGCTTATGAATTTAAATAGAATAAGTGAGCTTTTCCTGCCACATCTTTCTTTCTTTCTTTTAAAGTCTATAATTTCACTTTCTGTTTGTTTGTTTCAACAGGCCTTCCCAATGGGGATTGGAGACGGACAGCTGTATCCCTGGACAGATGGCTTGAAAAGAAAGGACTGGCATGACTATGAAAGTATACAAAAAGATGCCATGCGTTCAGGTGAGAAGCTTAGAGTAAGCCAGCATTATTCCTTGCTCTTCTACTGGCTGAGATGGACCTGGCTAAGCATTATCTGGCAAAGTCCATTTGGCATATAGTTTCTGTCTGATTTACACTGTCATGTACAAATAAGATTCCAATTAAAGAAGTGAGATCATTCCAAAGGAGCACATTGCCTAAGCTGGCACATTCTCCCAGAGGAATATAAACCCACATCAATTCTATTCTTGAGAAGCTGGATTTTGTCATAACATTGTAAGTGGGGAAAGATTAAAAAGATTTTCATTCCTCTCTCTTAATTATTCTCCCTTAAGAGTTTCAGCTAATTTTGAAGTGCAGTCCTAACCAGACAGATGGGCTGACAGGCAGCTGAGCTAATAATGCTGGTCCGTCTGAAAGCCGTACTGAATCCCAGTGCCTGGACAGGGCAGTGGAGGTGGTGGCAGCGATTCTGAGGCCTAACATCATTTTGGCCTAGCTTTTTGCTGCCATTATTTATGTGCCCTTGGACTGGAAGAGGTTCAGAGTAGGCATAAGGTAGCTTATCTATCCCTTCTCTCCCACCCCTTCTGGGCAGGGGTGTACTGATAGCAGATCTTAGCTAGAGGAGCAATTCTTCTGGAAGAGCTCCATAAACTGTGGTTCTAAATCTCCTACTGGCTTCTTGCTTTTGAAACTGAGAACAAAAACTGACATTATAGAGAACCTGGGATTAGAAGAGGAAATTCCTTAAATGGTGAAAGTACATGAGTGCACAGCAGACATTTTTCTCACCTCATGTAATTTACAAATCAGCTTCTCCTCCTCCCCACCTTTTTGTGATTGGTTTTAACCAATGGATTCTTTTAAATTTCTCTAAGGCAAAGGTCTGCCTGAATTATGTCTCCAGCATACCTTTGATTCTCATTGTGGGCCATCTACAACATTTGTTTCTACCCTTATATCACAGTGGTTGGGTAGATGTCCAAAAGGTACCATTTCCCAGTCCATTTAACATCTTCCTATACCAAGCCCTGCAGTGCCAGTCCATTCACCATATCATTCCAATTAAGCTACCAGGAAGATCATTATAATCACCTTGTAGGACATCCAGCCTTTGCCATGGAAGAATGGAGTGAATAGCCACTGAGACATCATTTTAAAAAGAGTCAAATTTAGGGAAATTTACTTTGCTTTGGAGAAAAGTTCCCAGTACCTCTTAGCCAATACAGGTGGGACTGTGGAAATTATCATCCTATATATTCTCAAAGGCTTTCCCAGCCGGGATCCAATGGATGTTGTAGTTTTTTTGGGCTCTTTGGCCATGTTTTGGAGGCTTTTCTTCCTAAAGTTTCGCCAGTCTCTGTGGCCGGCATCTTCAGAGGACAGAAGTTAGAACTCTTATCATCCTATACATTTCCAAAGCTTTGTAGAATAAATATGCTGATGGGACACAGGACAAAAGGGGACATAGATTTGCACTGAATGTAATCCATTAATTGTACAAGTACTTATAATAGTTTAAAGAAAAAGTATGGGCTGCACAGCATTCCAAATAGAGGATGTTTTTGTATGGAGTACAGTCTTCTGTACAGTTGAACACATGGTCAGCCTATTTGTGGTTCTCCATTCTGTCTCCTGACAGAGCTGTGGAGGTAGCTGGAGAGAGTACCAGCTTCTGAAACTCAGACTTTGTTATTAAGGGTTGCTGTAGAAATTAGCCATATTACAGTATTATGAGGTACCCAGTGTGGAGTAGTGCAGTAGTTCCCAACCTTTGGCCCCCAGATGTCGTTGGAGTAAAACTCCCAGAAGCCTTCACCACTAGCCGTGGCGGCCAGGATTCCTGGGAGTTGTAGTCCAAAAACATCTGGGGAACCACTGGTGTAGTGGATAAAGCCATGGACTAGAATTTTGAGTCCTTGGTTCATGTTCCTGCTCAGCCATAGATACTCATTGGGGGGTGACACTCGTAAAACCTTAAATACCACACAAACCATAAAAACCCCTATCAGCATCACTATACTGTAAGTTAGGTGCTAAGTTGAGGGCACATAACACACAGAGACACTAGTGCTGAGGCTTCCCTGATAAAACTCCCAAAATGGTACTTTGCTGCTGTATAAACTAAGCATAGCACGCTAGCTCATTTTCCTGTTGTACATAATCCGACTGAATAAAACTCACAGAGACATGCTGTGTTTCAGGTTATAGCTGGGATTCATCCTGTATCAAACTGAATTCAGCTTTGTCATGGTTGACATAAGGAAAGCAAAAAATATGATAGGTACCAACTGCTAGTGAGATGGGGCGGGGGGAGAGTTGCCAGCTAATTGCTGTGCCTCCTCTCCAACTGTTCAAAATATGAAGGGCAAATATCAATAGAATGATTTTTTTAAATGTTAGTGACATAGTTATAGATAACACTGATTTTTTTAAATGTTAGTGACATAGTTATTATAGATGACACCCTTTATGAAATTAGTATTTCCCTATGCAGTAAAAATAGTGTTTTCTACTTACCTCTTAAGAGTTAAAAAATGGTGTGGGGTAGAGGATAGAAGAACAGAAGATAAGACATAGCATGGGGCAATTTGGGTTCAAAGCATCCTCCTCCCATCAGTCCTGTCGGGGAGAGACAGGAATGTTTTGTACTCCGGCTGCTCCAGATGTTACTTGCAAAATGTACCCTCTGTGCTCTGGCCAAACTGCTGCTGTACCAGTTGTCTAACACCCCAGTATAAATCTGGCACCTGTCTATGGTCATTTGGGATGGCAATAGGTAAAGGGGTGCCACAAACCTATGGTATTCTCCACCAGAGAGAATGGCTGGTCATCTAGAGCTATCATCTCCCCTAGACAATGAATAATCCTGGCATTGTTACATTTACAGAAAACCTTTTCCCACAGCCCTTCGGACTACTCCAGGGTAACCTTGAACTTATACTTGAGATATGGATCTGGCATTTGCTGCCTCCCATTTCTTGTTGTTTGTCCATCTACCTACTTCCATGAGTTAGTAACTCAATATCTGCTCTCTGATAATTCTTACCCTTCTCAATAAGAAAGTCACTTGCCCCCACAGTATCCACTTCATTTGCAACAGCAATGCCCTATGTAGAGTCTTCAGGTGGCTGAGCATGCTACTATTGGAGAGATGGCCTAAATCCTGCTCATTATGTTACCATTCTAGCTACAGAAGCAATGGTATTCACAGAGTACACAAAAGCAACAGAAGGAATGAATCATCCATTCATTTTCTTGGTACCCTGGCTTTTTCCCAATAAAGCAACTCAAGCCAACTTACAAAATAGTTAGAAGAGAAATTGCTAAAAATACAATAAAGGGCAATATTAAGGGTGTGCAGAAACCATGCTATGTGATTTGTGTCCAAATATTTCCTGCATAGATTGGGAATAACCTGCCCCCAATTAATTTACAGTTTATTTGGTCTTGGATTTGTGCATATATTTGTATGTTTCTAGATCATGAGGAGAAAACTTTGAGTAAGGAAAACACAGGGCAATGACCTAGAATGTGGGGCACTAAACAACCCTTCAGCTTTGAGGATGTGGTCAAACTTCAGTACAAAGGCAGCTTCCTTCCTGCTTGCCTTCCTTCCTTCCAGCAAAGTGGGCCCTTTACCTTTTGCCCAGCTCCTGTCCTTCGATTAATCTACCCTGCATCAGCCAATAGGAGACATTTTTAAAAAAGAAAATAAAGTAGAAAAGGCATCGGGGGGGAGGGGCATTAGAGATAATCTCTATCCCTTCTTTGACCTATCAAATCAAATATTCCAGAGTCAGTCATCCATATTTCACTTACATGCACACCTGGTACAAAGCGTAATGAAGGATCAGCATAACTACTTTTTTAGAAAAGAAAATTCTTGAATGATTAGAATGGTTATGTATCACCTTTCTCTTGCTCTGCATGGATGAAAAATAGCTTCTTGCAGGAATGGTTGAGAATATATACAGTTCAACGAAACTTGCCTCAGGCCTCCCCAGGGCTTAGCAATTGCAGTTTCCAAGGCAGGTTTTGGCTTTCATTAGGACTTGAGCTGTCAATCTTCTACTTTGGCTCTTCCTTCTTTTTCTACAGAAATTGATGCCAACTATTTCAAATTTCAGCATTTTTTGCCTCCAAAACACTGGAACAGACTTTAGTGTTTTGTAAGGCACACAGACTGACCTAACAGCCATTGTGGGCTTCTGTTGCCACCTGCTAGCTGATCTACAAATTTGCCTGTATTGTTGTTTCATCTTGTCTGGACGTTTTTCTCTGAAGCCAGTGGACATCTCTGTTATATACTAAGACTGCCCAATAAAACCCATTTAAAACTATTTTAAAGGATGTTTTAAAGATTTGAAAAATACTGTACAACTTCATCCATTAAAATCACTTTCTTGGCAGCCAGTTACTTCCCAAAAGCCTGCATGAAGACAATGCTCATTACCTAGTGGTGGAAAGACAAAAAGGAAGAGGCCAACCTTGATCCACATAGAAGGAGTTCCCACAGCTTGGAACCAGTTCTAAAAAGGCCCTCCCAGTCATCCCTTTGGGAGTAAAGAGACTGATAGAAAGGCCTCCTCTGAAGACCTTAAATGATGGACTTCTCTGAGGATCTTTTCTCATTACCGTTTGAGGTGTAAGAATACTGTAGTATGTGGCTCTCTCTGTGTAAATTTTAATACAGAGTGGACAGGGGAACATTGCTCAGCCATCAGATGTTTGAGCAACAGTAATCTATAGGAAATAGTACAATGGAATAAGCTACAAGTGTAGATTTACAAAGTTATTTAGTTCCAGATTAAGACACCCAAATCTGATTATAAGCCTTCTTTCTTGAGTCTGTTACCAGCAGACTCGGTGTGCCTATCATTCAAAACTTCGAAGACTAATGAATCAAACAGTGATTGAATTTGACAAAGTTGTGTTGTATTACACTTTCATCCAGTATTGCTTTACTTCTTCTAGCCACTTGCTGCAGACTAGAATTATATGCTTCGTTTCACATA